AAAAAGTATTTTTGAGTGTATCAAGGATATTATGAATGTAAGTAATGCAATTGTCCATGTGCTTTTCATGACTTGGCTATTATAAAAACTCAAAATAATAGATTAGAATAGTAGAATAGATCTACACTTGATGTTGTGTTTATGAACATTGAAATTAATATGATAATCTTTTTTAATTTTAGATGTACTTTCATGCATCTCAAAAAGTAACAATTCTTTTTAAAGCATGGGCTGTTGATAGCATTGGAGGTACGTACATAATATAGAATGTTTATGTATAGTTTAAAACAGGAGAGAGAGTGTTTTATCAGGTATAATACCTGATAAACACGATCTCGAGTATTTAAAACAGCTTAAAAAACTCCAACATTAACACTAATTTGAAACTCAAAAAAAATACCTCAACAAAAGTACTATATATTTTTAAAAAGCTAAATAAAKGTAGTTTTTGAAAATTATGCCTAAATTTCCATAACTTAAAACGTCATGAAGATATTCTGACGAAAGCATATTTTGACCGTACCTTGTCTGAACTGCATCAAAATTGTCAGGATTGCTGTCTTAGCAATGAAAACCATGTTAACACTTTCCTGATATATTAAAGTCCAAAATGGTGTCGGCGATTTTTCAATTCTTAATCAATCAAATATGATACTAAGCTATTCCAGAACCATTCTACTTAATATCTCTGTGAATTCTCCACATTGTTCGCTCAATAATCTGCTCTGGAAGAAAGTTATTCAACTTGGCATMTCTCGAACACTACCAACTCGCAGGGGCTGCCGTGCTGGGACCAAGAAAAGGCTCAAATCTCTCCCTACCACTCAGATATGTGGAGCAGAGTCTTCCAAAWTCGACGAACCAACGAATCTCCAGAGTTCTGTTAAATATTCTGCAATTTCTCCRGCTTCTCAAGGAGGACATGATTTGCATACAACCTTATTAAATATTCCCGTTAACACCTCTACTCGCAGTAATGTAAACAACAACGTCAATAGCGATGTACCGTCTATTGATGGGTTATTTGGTCTTCCCTCTAAAACGAAAGGTCTCATCTTTGGTCATCTTGATATCAGAAGCTTGAAATCTGGTTGTAAGCTTGACGAATTAAGAATCCTATTGCAAGGCAGGCCAATAGCTCATCTTATGTCAATAACTGAATCCTGGCTCAATGATTCCTGGATAAATGAAATAATTGCTGTCAACGATTTCTCAGTTATCAGGAAAGATAGACCCGATTTCTGTGATGGTGGTGGAATAGCTTTCGTATATCCATAACTCTATTCCATTTACGGAAAGACGTGATTTAGTTCCGAACAACTTGGAAGCTGTGTGCGTTGAGCTGCGACCATCGTTTACAATCTCCTATCTTGGTACTCACTATATACAGACCGCCTAGCTCGGATCTTCAATATGACTGTCTCCTCATGAAAGCAATTGAGAACACCTGCATGGAAAATAAGGAGTGCATAGTGCAAGATGATTTTAACATCAATTTACTAGATTGTAAAACCAAATTTCATAAAGTCCACAAACATCTACAAACCCTTGGACTACTACAACTGATCACTACCGCAACACGTGTTGAATCTACATCTGATGACAATGGAATCGTTGTCTGAGCAGAAAACTAAAGGTTTTGATAACCTCAACGTTATGATACTAAAAAAAGTCTGTAAGCAAAAAAATCTGTCCTCTACTTACATCTATATTTAACCTTAGTATATCATCTGGGACATTTCCCAACCAGTGGAAAATTGCAAAGATCACACCAATCTTTAAAAGTGGCCAAAAGCAGGATGCTGACAACTATCGACCTATCTCTGTCCTCTCTGTTCTGTCAAAGATTCTGGAACGACACGTTACGAAACACCTAATGGAGTACTTCCAGGATCATCAAATCTTGGACGTTGCACAATTTGGGTCTCGTCCAAACCTTTCCTGTGAATCTCTCCTCTTACAYCTAACAGACAAATGGCTTAAACATATGGACAACAGCGAACTCACCGGTCTTCTATTGGTAGATTTCAGGAAAGCCTTTGACCTTGTAAATCAAGATCTTCTTCTGCAGAAACTTTCTACTTATGGTGTCCTCGGCAATGCCCATCGTTGGTTCACCTCTTATCTCAAAGGAAGGAAACAAGTTGTATCTATTGGGAATTCCCCAGGGCTCTTGCCTTGGCCCTCTGTTGTTTATTACTTTTGTGAATGATATCCCAACAATTAACAAGGAATGTATGACCTACATGTTTGTAGATGACACTTCCATATGTGTGTCTGGAGCCTCATCTGCTGACATTAATTCAAAGCTCAAAGCTGGCCTGGATAACCTTTGTACGTGGGTCTCCAATAACAGGATGGTACTTCATCCCCAAGAGACCAAGGTTATGCTTATTGGAACACATCAGAAACTAGCAAGATCAGATCCTCTACATATTTATATCAATGATGAATTAATTGAACAGTCCTCGTGTGAAAAATTACTTGGTATTTACATCGATTCTTCTCTGACGTGGAATGAGCAGATCAGCAAACTCGTTAAGAAATTCAACACTAAATTGGAACTCATCAGGCAGGCAAGGCCATATATATCTCCCAGTAAACTACAACTCCTGTATAATACCATTGCATGACCAACCATGGAGTATTGTTGCTCTGTTTGGGGGAACTACTCGAAGGAATCTATGGATCGTCTTTTGTTAGCCCAGAAACGAGGTGCAAGGCCAAATATTTTTAGATATTGCTACGATGTGAATATGCCTCGAGCTGTATGGACTGTTTCAACTTCGGGTACTTCACTTCGGTATTATCTTGTGAAAGTTTTAACGAGGACAGCTCAGATGCCAGTTTGGTCGACTTAAGTTTCTCTTCTACTTGTAACTCTTGATGAGCGTAGCCAAGAAATTCCTCTACGTTCTGCAGATCTGTTTTGATCATTTGGATATCAAAAGAAAGGATCAAGTGAAGGGGCGGGTTTTGACAGTTGGTTTGTCGGTTTGTTTTGGTTCAAAGCTGTGCTGCAAGATGTTGAGAAATGCGTTGTTTCGTGTTTTTTTCAGCCTTTTTGCCTTTAGTCACTACTCTACGAACATCATTAAGTTTGAAGGTAGCGAAGGACCTTACTTGCTGAAAGAATCCAGCTTGGTGTGTGACTTTTTAAGCGATTTTCTATTTCGGAGGAGATGGAATGACTGCTGTTGCGGCATGTAAAAAACTCCCAGAATTCATTGCGCGCAAGAATCTGGTTAAAACGCGTGTTCTGAATCAGTGTCCAAAGGGAAAGCCGTAGCTTAAGATGTTTATGGAAAATTTGAAAAATAAAACGCTTAAATGACAGACGTAGGACTGAATTTTGGTACAAACAGTTATTCGCTTGTTGAAATCTCGAATTTTGTAGTTAGCAAAGACAACGAAATAGTGCTTTTTTCACTGTAGGCGAGGATTAGCGTCACAACTGCCCTTTTATCACTTAATTTTTGTGACTTCAACTGTCGCTTGACTGGCTTTTCAATGTCAAAATGAGTAGCTCAGTCATCCATGCTGTTCAAGTGATTTTATCCAAACTTCGGACTCGGGGAGGGGGGAGAGGGGGGTGTTGTTTGCTTTCAAAACTCAGATTTTAGAGCCTAACCCTTAGCTAACATTAACCCTAACCTACCCTAAACCCTAGCCCTTCTAACCCTAACCCTAAATCAAGGAACCCTAGATYGCACACTAATYACAATGACAAGGAATGAAAGAACTATTTAYATAAGATCTTTAAAAKTTTCCATCTTCTATATGGTGCWTATTGTCACTGTCTAGTTGAGAAAACTTTGTGYCTGAGAAGATAATATTAATATCAGTGCTCCAATAGTCATGACGTATGTCATTTATGTGCTTGTGCAATGATCTTGCATTACAAAAACATATTTTGATACTAAAATTAAAATAATATCTAAAATCTGAAATTGTTTTAAGTTTGACTTCAAAAGACTTTTTCATAATCAGTGAATTTACCGTTTATTGTGTACGTTTTAGACTTATAGTAAGGCTACTTTACCTATATTCCTAWGATTAATATCTAAATYGACTTAAGTAATTGTCTATAGCTATCTGGTAACATTCTACCATTGTCCCTATTCGATGATATGTTCTCATCTTCCTTTTCAGTTTCTTTCAGTCTACAATTACATGTAGTTATTAATTAGGTATACAATGTATTATATGTGCAATAGTCATGGCAACTGCAATAATTTGAGTCATTGCAAATTGATAAATAAATAAATTATTTATGTTKATTTCAGGTCTTATTGGTTCGTGTATTGCTGTATTTGTACTTGCAGCTCTCTATGAAGGTCTAAAAGTCACCAGAGAAATTCTAAAACGAAAGTATGGTTATGTTGTCAGTATTGACCTAGACAAAAGTACTCATTATGCAAAGAATGGAACTACTGGACAGTCTGTGACAGTAACAGAGACAGCAGGTCAAATTCCAAAGTGAGTGTGCTATGATAATATTGTTGTGTAGGTCAATCAGTTAATCAGACATTTTGACGTCAAAATCACACATGTAGCCACTGAGACACAGAATTGTTGGGTATCTGGTGATCTCGCCCCCAAGTGATATCATTCCATGGTTTCACCCCCACATAGTCATTGATATATGTGCAGTCATAATTTTTATGTTGCTATGCTTAAACACAGTTTACAATTAAACTGTCGTTAACTTTTAGTTTTTCAGGCCTATATGAACAAATTTCAGTGAAATTTCTTTTTCATTTACGAACGAGTAGTGAGTGTATGAATTCAAGCATACTTGACAATAAAACATTATTTTCCATAACCTTTAACTTAAAACAAAGAAGTATGATGTCAAATAGTTCTAATCTAAAGTATTTTGTCTTGAATAATTATAAAAAGTGGTCACTTTYTGAGCACAGATCTTTAAAACCTAATATCTGTGTAGCAAGGAGAAGGCACTTGTAGTAAGCATAGTCTGTTTATGATTCGAGGTGATGATTCGAGCGATAGTTTGTCGTCTTTGTCAATGATTACCAAAGACTTCTACTTGCACAACACTGTATTATTAAATCTACATAGTTTATGAATGCCTCATCTGTACTATGTATCGGTTTAGAATGTTTTTTATCTATACTTTTTCTACTTTAATTTGAAGACAACCTCTGATGTTTTTGTTTACACATTTGTCTTGGTTTGTTGTCAAGGTGTCTGGAAATGTGTGACATGGAATGTTACCGACTTATTGGCGTGTCCTACACCTGTGCTTGCACAGTGGTTTTTTTCTTTTTTCAAAGGACGTAGTTTTATTTCTGTATACTGTCTATCTGAGTTGTTGATACCAACATATCATAAGAACCGGTTTCAAATTTTAGGCCGCAGCCTCCTTGAAGTAGTGGCCAAATTATATGTGCCCCGCGTCAAATAAATAAAAAAAACGGCTCTTTTAAATTTTTTGGCCTATTTTTCTTTAGATCGTCAGAATATATCCAAACAACTCACAATTATTTGAAAGGACAAAAAATCTGAAGCCTAAATAGTCTATGACACMAATACACGTCTTTTGGCATGGTCGAGCAGACCATGCAGTAGTYTGCCCATGAACATTATTAAAGTTTACCAACATATCATTCTTAAACAAGAACTTCGAGATTTCAAGAACTCCAGAACTCTTGAATTGTTTCTCTTCTAGAAAAATAGCAATGTTATATGTGTCAGATGTATATTTGATAGTGGGGGAGAGATCACTTGGAGGCGAGATCACTTGGGGGCGAGATCATGGGGCGACATCACTGGTATTCAATTGTTGTCTAAGTAAATAAGTTAAACAAACTGTTTCTGTTTAAGCTGTCTAAGTCAAACTGTTAGCCAGGCATTTTGACATCTAAATCTAGACAGTAAACCAGAAAAACACTTTACGGATGCATCTAAGTCAAACAGCTGGCCAGGCAAGCATCTTAGTAAGTCAGTTAGGTAGACACTATAACATCTAAGTCAATCAGTAAACAAGACAATGTTTTTGTCTAAGTCAAAGAGTAAACTTTGCCATCTCTTTGCAAGTCAATCAGCTGTCAATCAGCAGACAATTCTAGTCCTTACATCAGTAAGGTGATATAAATGTATGAAAACATAATTGATAGGTGATCCCTAATTTTTACTCATAATCTGAAAGTCTTGGTACATCCTCATTTGTTATTTTTAAATTTGAGGTCAAAGATCTGTAATGGACATCACATCATTCAATCACTGCTGCACATMGTTCAGGTGGTAATCAGCTACTTCCTAATGTTGATATTCATGACGTACAATGTATGGCTGTGCCTAGCTGTTGCTCTTGGTGCTGGTTTTGGATATTTTGCATTTGGTTGGAAAATGGTCAAAGTTGTTGATATCTATGAGCACTGTCATTAACTAAAAATTCATAAGATAAATCTTGAATTCTGATAGTTGTTTGCAAAAACCTGTGAAATACATAGTGTAATACACTGTACATCATACTTTTATAATACATTTTATTACACTTTATTTTCAATGATGCATTTCAATTTGAACAATTTCAGAAATTTAACAAAATTGGCAAAATGAATAATGGTCAAAAAGAAAACAAATGAAATTATTATTAATTATTTTAACCCTTTGTTGATAACAAGCATATTAACAAGGCATTGTAAGGTGTAATTATTTTAACCCTTTGTTGATGACAAGCATATTAACAAGGCATTGTAAGGTGTAATTTTAACCCTTTGTTGATAACAAGCATATTAACAAGGCATTGTAAGGTGTAATTTTTTAAGTGTGTTAAATTTTAAATTTTCTTGTTTATTTGGAGTTAATTAAAATATGAAATAAATAAGAATACAAAATGTAATTATACGAGGTAGTATGAGGCTAATAATATGCCTTAGTACGCTCTAATAGGCCCTTTGCAGCTGGGGGTCACATGACCACACCTACCTTACATCAATCAGCTATCAAAAAATTATGTTCAGAAATGGAAAGAGGGGATCCAAATAAGTAAGAAGACATAGTTTCAAGTCTCAACAGTAAATATTTCAAAATTGATATCAAATATAAAATCATTGTTTTTCTAATGAAACATATGCAGAAACAGAACTGGAGAGCAAGGTTTGCTCTCCAGTTCTATTTTCCCATACATTTCTTTAGAAAAGTCAAAACATTACATTTGCAGTCATTTTTGAAGTATTTAGAGTTGAGAGTTGAGATTTTGCCATTTTACCAACATAAACCTGCTCTTTCCATTTCTGAACATCATTTTTTGATAGCTGATTGATTTAAGGTAGGTGTGGTCATGTAACCCCCAGAAGCAAAGGGCCTATAATTGCATTTATTTCTTTTGTTTCTATTTTCTTTTAATTAAGCGCCGTTTACACCAGCAATTTTTCTTTGACGCGTAAATGGGGCAAAATTGACAATTTTTCCTTGACAAGGAAAAATTGTCAAGGACGAAATTTGCTCGTGTAAATGGACAACAAGGAAAACGTGGCTAGGAAAAATTGTCAAGGAAAACTTGTTGACCATTCATACGGGCAATTTTTCCTTGTCAAGGAAACTTTACCTTTTACACTTTATTTCAAGGGTTTTTGCAAATGACACTAAATGTATGGGGCAATACCATAGCTCGATACAATTATAGAATGTCAAGTAAAACTTGTTGACCATTTACACGGGCAATTTTTCCTTGTCAAGGAAACTTGTTCTT